TCTACTTGCACAATGTAGAATTCCTTTGTAATGCAAACCGAGCAGGGTTACAGCTCCAAACCCGGATCATTTACAACCATGCAGCTGAGCAAGAAACCACTCTCAGTAGCACAGAGCAGCATTTCCTGTAATTAATCCTCAAAGCCATATAGCACTCTATGAAGAAAGTCTGGCTGGATGGCTTGGGGATACTGTGCTTTAGGGATGACACACACCTTTCTACAGCCTCGGAGGCTTGAAAAAAAAAAAAGGAAAAACCCTCCTAATATAATACTGCCATTTAAGAGAAATCAGAACTGAAAAGCAGCTGTCAAACTTTAATTTCCTGGCTAATGAATGACCATGAATCCATCCTTTAATGATTCTTGACCCTAGAAACAAAATGTATTAGCACTCTCAGATTTTGCACAGTAGTGCTAAATGGGGCATGTAATGTACTAATTTAGTGCCTCTTTAGCATAATCACAACCTACATGCACAGCTACATTTCCTTGGCAGGCAGCTTTCACAAGACCTGCAAAGAACTAACGTAGGACATTTCACCCTATTACTCATTTCACTGATGCCTGAGAATCAATATATGTGATTTTTTTCCCCCGTCCTGTCTTTCTCCACAAAAAAGCATAAAATCATCTATTGATCTTCATGGGGTGATTAAAATGCCAAGAATTCTTTGCTTTTCTCTACCTGCCATGGGGAGACATATCTAGTTTTACTGTATGTTTAATTTGTGCATCTAAAAGCCCGAAAAAATGTTGAGTCTGAGTATAAATCCTATTTTCCAGGAGAAATACAGGGTCAAACTGAATAAACTGCACTGACCAAAGGTTATATTTTAAAATAAAACAATAAATAAAATTTATTTTAAAGATGAAATTTAAAAAATTTTAAGATCATCCTAAAAATATATTTTTAGCAATGGCTTAGTTTGGCTCTCCCATTCAGAAAGAAAGTAGTCTGACAAGTGAAAACACTAATCCTGATGACCACCAGCTTCCTTTTTTTGGCTTCCCTTTGGTCCCTGTTTGGCTTTCGGGATGCAAAAAAGCACAGTACATTTATAACATCTGTAAGCAAAGGACATTTCACTTAAGCATCCATTGAAGTACTTGTGGCATGCCTCATTCAACAGTTTCTTCCAATTTTTTGTGATATTTTTATTTTCTATTAATTCTAATCTTGATCTCTACTCATAGAATCATGTGATAGTTGAGGTCAGAGGTGGTTTGCAAAATTGTCTATTCCACACCTCTGATTATAGCACAATCAACTAGAGCAGGTCACCCAGTACTATGTCTAGCTGGGTTTCAAATACCTCCAAGAATGGGGGTTTCATAACCTCTCTGGGCAACCTGCACCAGTATCTGGCCACTCTCACAGTAAATATGTATTTTCTTATGCTTAACCTGCGTTTCAGTTTGTGCCATTTCCTGTGGTCCTTTCCCTGGGCATCACTGAGAAGAGCCTGGCTCTGTTGTGTTTACACCCTCACTGCAGATATTTATATATATCCATAAATCCCCCCGGGGCCTTCTGTCTTCCAGACTGAACAGTCCCAGCTCCCTCGGACTGAGAAATTTTAAATTAACCAAAGAGCAATCTTGACCATGAAAGACGAGCTTCGGTCCTTCTTTGCACTGTTCTAGCCAGGGGTTTGCTCTCCTCTCTCATCTTCCCTCTGTAAATTATTTCAATGAACCCTTCAGAGGGGACATTGCCAAAGCACTTTCCAGAGATGTGGATCCAGATGGAACCACAAGCATCCTAAAGATGTTATTGTAACACACAATGGGATCCTTATAGCATTTTGCCTGGTCCTGCCTGGTTTATGCAGATGAATTGGGGTGTCCAGAAGGGTTTTGTTACAAGATCAGGCCTATCTTCAAAACGCAATTAAGCTACTTGTTATTTATTATATTAACATTTACTTTGTCTAAATAATATTGAGGCCACTGCAAGGAGTCCTGCATATCTGTGTGGTCTACAGCAAGCAGAGCACTGTGCGTGCCGTGCTCCTACATGGCTTTTGTCATGAAATCGATCCTTCCTAAAACTTGTTATCCCTCTGTGTGCAGGAGCCCTGTCTGGCCTGGCAGCCCCTGTCTCCAGTGGATCAATACAGAGTGATAGGGGCAGCTGAGGGAGACAATGCACAAACAAACATACCTGGCACTGGAAACAGACTGTCTGCGGTTACAGGAGAAGGTGTGAAGCTCCTCACCTTGTTCTGCTGCTTGAGCATCTCTCGGCGCTGCTGGAGGTGTTCAGTCAATTAGTGTGGCCAGTCCCTTTCTGAATGTTTTTATCTCCATACATAGGCTGTGCTTTAGAGAGAAAAACCTGGATCTATGCCACGCTCTTTCCAGAAATTCAGGAAAAGGAAATGGGATTGTTAAATAAAATAGACAGCACTGATCTAGGAGTTCCTAGGGCAGGCTGTACAGGCTTGGCAGCACTTGCCTCCACTGCCAGCAGTGCTGCCCACAGAGAGAGGCTCTGTCTGCAGGGAGCTCCATGCAGGGCTGGGGTCCAGTCTGGCATGGCAAGTGTAAGGTCTGCTCTCAGTCATGCTTGTGAGAACCCAGAGAACAGGTCAGATCACTGTATTACCTTGCATTTCTGCTCTGTGACTGCCTGATCAAGCAATGGTGCAGAGTTTCAGACAGCTGGTGTGAAAACTTTCCTTTGGTGAAAAACAGAGTCCTGCTGCCCTCTCAGAAAAGACTTTTACTTCTAGGGGGGTCATCTCTGCTTAAGGCACAACGCTGCCCAGTGTTTGATTGATATTCATTCTCAGAGCTGTGTGAGTTGGCCCAGCTGTGGGTGTCACTCCTTAGCCTGTAGTTCCCACCGATATTCATGTTGAGGCCTCTGGAGGCAGGTGTGTTTGTGGGATTTAAAGGAAGCAATGCAATTTTTTAGGAGAAATTTCCTGTATGTCATTACTACCATCCCAAACAGTAGTAGTACAACACATAACTGCTACATCTGAAACTCCTGAGCTGCAGTATTAGCAAGGAGTTAACAGGAATCACAGGCTGTAATTGTTGCAGCTGTTTTTAATAACAAATATGGAGAAATTACATCTTTCCAGAGATAATTCACAGTGTAAAATTTCAACTGAGTTGACCAGATAGCAATTTTTCTTCCATCTCTGATAACAATTAATGCTAAGACTTAGTTACCAAAAAATATGTAGACCATAAGGAGTTTTTTTTGTGATAGGTGCTAAATAAATTAGTATTAAAATAATAATTAACTAGCCCTGCCTTGTGATGTGCACACGAATTACAGCTGACCATTGCTGTGGATGTGGAAACCAGCCACTTCTTGCTTATGTCTGTTCTGCTCTGAACGGAGTCAAATCTGTCTGCTCCAGTTAAGACTGTGTTTTCATATATTAATTTTTAAGATGATGGCTGTATCATCATATCATCTGCAAGCCTTGAAATGTATCTGAGCCTGAGGACTCTCCAGGACACATGGATGCCTGTTCAGCCATGCTGGGCTTCTATTAGAAGATGAGTAGGGAATGTAAGCATCCTGCTATGTCTGGGAATGAGGTGGGAGGTTGCAACCTGGCTTCTCAGAGTCCAAAACCTTATGCTTGAATGATGCCCAGGGCTCTGCTGTTGCTTGGAGGCTGGTGTGAGTCATGCTGCCCCTCGAGAGGATGGGGGGAAGTTGTGCTGTATGCTGGTGTGTCAGATGTGTCTTTTGGGGCCATAGGCTGCAGATCCCACAATGTGGGTCTCTGGGACAGAACCATAAGCAAACCAGAAGTCACTGTGTCATTCTCAGCAGCACTTACAGCCCTGCAAGTACTCAGTGTGATCCTGTGCCCAAGTCTGGGAAATGCTCGGAGCAGTCAGAACATGCTGGTATGTCGCATTGAGAAAAGTGGTGTGTGAATTAGCAGCTTTTCCCTGAGCTGGGCAGGAAGGGCTGAACCCTGCCCTCTGCAGAGATGACTCGGTGCCACAGCATGTATTGAGCCATCAGCTCTTGCCCACCGCAATTCTGCACTCCTTTTTTTTTTTTAAAGAAAAACAGATTCTTTTGCTCGGATACTATTTAGTTGGGAAACCTCGACATGATTTTCATGGATTGTTTCAGATGCATCTTTCTAAGTACTTAGGAAGGCATCCTGGGATGCATTGAGATTCCCTGGCTGGCGCAGCCAGCAGGTGAAAGAGTTGAGCGAGAAGCAGCTGTTCTTGCCCTCTGTGGGTGCAAACCCACTGAGCTCTTACTGCAGCCAGCCCGGGCTGTTCCCTGGGCGCTGCCAGGCTCAGCCGTGTCCCAACACCCGCAGCTCAAAGAGACGGGTGCCCTGTGCCCATCGCGGGTGGCACGTCCCACTCGTGCTCCCAGCAACTCCTATACGTTCTTGTGACAACAGGGGGCACCAGCGGCCCTTGCTAGTGCGGGCTCTGCCCTGCCCGGCCCTCCGGGACACCCGGGGCTGCTCCCAGCGCTTGCGGACCTGTGGGAGGAAGAAGCCTGCAAACGAAACCCATCCTGCTCCTCCCGTTCGGAGGATGCCTGCTCGCCCCCGTGGGTCTGCGTGGGTGTTGGTGATAGCGCACAACGCAGAGAGCGATGTGTGGCTGGAGTGGTGAAAGTGTGTGTGGGTGCAGGGCACACGTGGCTGGGAGCAGAGAGGGCTCACACCCAGAAGGGCACCCTTTCGGAATCCTCAAATGGTCACCCTGCGCTTCCTGCCTGACAGGGCCCGACCCTGCCATCTGCACCCCAGCAGAAGTTACTGAAATGTGGGAATTTGAGGTTAATCTGCAGTGCAGTGGTGCAGGTCAGAGGCTGGGTCCGAGTCTCCCCTGCATTACAGCGGAGTTCAGCCTCGCTGACAGCTGTGTAACACGCGAGATCCGCCTCCAGCGAAGCCCGCAGGGACAGCCCTGAGCTAGCTCCGAGCTGCTGCACTCCAGCGCTGCTGCCAGCTTAGGAAGGAGGCCAGAGCAGCCTGTCTGCTTGAGCACAAACTCCCCAGCAAACCTGAGCTGCCGAGGCTGTGTGGATAGCAGCACAGAATGGCAGCAACACACTGGTCCTTTTAGAGGTAACCCCCGTAAAGTGGGGGACGGTCGAGCTGTATCCCCACCCCGTGCGATAGGAATGGGACCGCTCCCAGTCTGCTCTGCCCCTGATAACGCAGATCCTCTCTCCTTCACCTTACCCACTGTGTTTATCCCTACGCAGGTGCATTCAGCTACAGGATGCCCACAGAGGGATGCAGAGAAGTTGAAGCAGCATTTGCTACTTTCCTGAAGCACAGCTACTTAAGCAGGTAAGCAGCAGGCACAATTAGTGAAAACACACTGCTTTTGATCACTGTAACACACGACAAAATAATCAGACGCGAGTCCTTCTGATGAACAGACCCTTTAGCAGAATGTTCTGATTCGCTGCTGTTGTGAAAGCAGAAACAGGCAGCAATATTTTATTTCTGCTTTCTTCCATTCAGCACTGGGATGGAGTTCTCTACTCTGGTTTGTGGGATGCTTTTTCTTTGTTTCCTCTTAATCTGAATGAGGAAGATAAAAGGAGAAAAAACCATGATGGAGGGGAAAGGGCTTTGAGCAAAGAAACAACGTGTCACACAGTACTGAAAATGCCACCCAACCTAGTGACATTAATTACTTGCAAGAGTAAGAGCTGCTCACTCAATTTAATCCCTTGAGTAAGGGTTAAATGGTTGAGTAGACAGTTCCAGGCAGGATCAGACCACAGAGCTGTGCATATGAACCATGATCTAGAGTCTGTACCAGGGCCTTGTCCTCTTCAGTCCTGCAAATTTGATGCTCACTGCAGCGGGACTATTTGCATGCCAGGAGATCGGATGCTCTGTTTATCTACAGCCTAGAAACATAAAGGTCCCAAGTTTCTTCCACTGCCAGGGGACATGTGAGAGCTTTGAGCACATGCTACAGAGATAAGTAGAGACATATGCTTTATGCCAGGCCAAGATGCTTTTATAAAGAGTTTCTGGCCATGTCTGGTAAAACATTTAATAACTTTTCTGCCAGCAGCCAAAAGGCAGTCAAATAGTTAAAAGCAGTAATAAAAGTTCCTGAGTGAGTCAGAGTCCTACAGAAATCCTGCTAGTGAATTTCTCCATGGTAGCCTGCAGGACTAGCAAGAAAAAAATCCCACAGGACTCTGATGGTATGAAGTATTTTTTAACAACTCCTTGGAAGTGGCATGGAATGTCCCTGCAAAGCTTCTGAAACCAGATCCCAGGCTATGTGCAGCCTAAACAGCAATTCTGGTATTTTTTTCTTAAATTACTATAGTTTCAAATCTGATTTTACTCCTAGAGAATCACAGAGAGGCCAGTTTCAGTGTGATCTTTAAGTGGCATCTCACTTGCTTATAGAAGAATGTGCATAAGTGTGTATTCCTTTAACCTGGAATCCAACATACTTGAACGTCCATACCACAGATGGAGCAAAATGCTGCCCTGCCATGTGGCGTGGCCTGGGCTCAACTCTCTGCCCTCCCTTCCTGCTGAGCTCTGCTCTTGTAGCGCTAATGAAGTACCTCTTCTTTCCCTTTCAAAGCCCTCAGGTGATTCCTTTCTGCTTGGAAACTGCAGTGAGACCATGGGCTTCTTTGGAAATGAATCTCATTAAGATCCAGGCCACAAAAGCTTCTCTGCTAATTCTTCCTGCTGCTAAAACCCTGTCAGTAACCAGCATACTCTGGTTTGGCTCTGCTGTGGGCAGCAGTGCTGGGAACCAAGGGCAGGGCAGGTGCACGTATCTCACAGCAGCTTGCTCTGATCCCAGGTTTATGGGTTGGCAATTGTAGGTGTCCACATTCTTGCTCTCCTGTTTGACAGATGATAACAATGGAGAGAGGAGAGGGTAGTAATGCTGCTGGCACCTGTCTGGCAGCTTGTGTGCATGGGCTAGTTGGTCTCTGATTGCATTTTGCAAGTTCTTTCCACACTGCAGTTCAGGTGTGGTTTGGATGCTTTTCTCTGAAACATCTGGGAGCTGATCTGGGTGCTCTGCTTGGCCTGAATTTCCTCTCCTTGTTTCAAGACATTGTCATTTCTCTCCAGCTGAAAATCTCCTGGGAGCTAACTACGTTTCTTTGGTTATTCCCTGTTTTACTACAGCTTGGCTGTAAAAAGTGGAGCAGTTGGTGGGAAAAATTAGTCTTTCTCAGAGCTGTTTTGCAGATCCCCCACAGACACATTATGCCAGCGTGACAGCATCAGCACAGCACAGGAGACCTCAGCAGAGAGGCTTTGAGCTAAGCAGGATCAAGCTTCCACAGATGTGGGTTGTCACCATGCCTGCTGGGCTGCCCAGTCTGTCAGCAGAGATCCTACCCTGGATGTCCTAATTCCCTGTCCTGTGCTCTATGACCCACTCCTTCTCTTGCACAGCAAAACCCTGTACAACCTTTCTGGTCTCTCTTTCCCACTTCCAAGGGTGTTTGGGGTGAACTTGTGATCTTTAAAACAACCTGCAGGCAGGATGAAGACAGTTGTTCTCCTAACTGTGTGTGAGGGCAGCACTTATCCCTAGGGTTAGAACATGGGTTTTCTGGGTCTACAGAGAGGGCCTGTGAAGCACAGCATGGGTGGTATGGCTGAGCTGCTCACAAAGGGAGCTGAGAAAAAGCCAGAGGTTTATCACCCAGGGCAGGAGACGGCCTCTCCTTCCTCCTGGCCTTGTCTCAGGCAGAGAGCCCGGCTCTCACAGCCTGCCTGGCAGGCAGCCACCCTCCCATGGTGTCCGACCTCCGAAGACGTGCCCATGGCAGGCTGCTTTGAGCACACGCAGAGAAAAGAGATAGTGAAGAAGTATCTGGTTACCCACCTCAGCCGCCTTCTTCCCCTCCTTTCCAGGGAGGGAGGTCTGCCCTCCTGGGTGTCAGGAGAGATTCTTCCAGAGAGAGTTTGGCAGCACAAATTTATGACAAGCCTGTTACAACTTGTTGCAGATTTGGGTAACACTTGGGGAAAATGCTGTCAACAACTGCTTGCTTCTCTCCTTGGAAACCCCAGAGTGCTTTTTCTGTGCTCAGCTCACTGCCACAATTCATACTGCCAGTGGCTGGGGGAGTATCTGGGAGTCCAGAGCCAGCCTTCCCTGGCAGCACGGGGATGGTGTCATGGCTCAGGGTCACTTCCTCAAGGACAGCTGCCATGCCCCAAGGAACAGTAGCCCTTTAGCCTCACACATGGGTGTGATAGTCAACAGAGCAGCATATGAAAGCACTGTCCTTCCACCCTCAGATCATCATAGGATCTGTTGAGCAATTCAGTGTGTTTATCTCGCAATGACAGTGCAGCCCTGGGGCTGTCTGAGGTCCTCACTGGTGCAATGACTGGCTGTTGCATCAGAACCAACAGTCAGACGATGGGGTCACGCTTCCCGGAGGAGGCAAAGTGCTGATCCAGGCTGTAAAGATTGCATTTCTCTCTGCATTTGCATTCTCAGCTGCAGGACAAGCGCCAGAGTCCTGGGGTGGGCAGAGGGGATTTAGGTTAAGCAGGACTTCCAGATCAGCTCCAAGATTGTCATCTTCTGGTTAAAATCATGGAAATCTGAGATGACACTTGTGGCCCCTGCAGTTACTTCTGAATGCACATGTATTTCTCCTGGTAAATCATTAAAGCATACCCTAGCATGAGACAAAGCGGGAGTTTTAGGCAAGGAAAATACCTCTGCTTGTCAGGTGCCCCAGGAGAAGCTGAAGTGGACATAAACAGTGGAGCAGCTTGCAAGTGTGCAGCATTGAGAACACAGGATGCATCCCATATGCAAGATCTCATTCCCCAATCCTCAACATCCAATCTGGGAGCGCTAGCAGGAGTGTTTGGTGGCATGAATGCCTGCACAGTCACACTGGTCACCTTTTGCTTATGGGATGTACAGATGCTGGCATTGTGTAGTAGGCAATTCATGTTCCACAGCAGTCTGCAAGGTTGTGGTGATTCATGGGGAACAGGAAAACCTAGTCTTATCTTGAGGGGGAAAACTGCTGAACCTCAGGTTCCAAAGCCTTTGGTTCAGTGGAATTACAGGTGCAAATCCTGAGAGGTTCAAATAGGGTCTTTCTTTCCCTGAGATAAATGGAGTGCCATGCAGTAAATCACCTATGATTCTCTTTGTTAGATGCTGTGTTACTTGAAAATGGCATCAAGACAAATTTCAACTTTCTGCAAAATAAATAACTGCATCATTTATCAAAAAGGTTTGCTTTCAGAAAGGTTGCCACTCCTTTAAGGCATCAGAGACCCCTGGGAATGAAGGAGATAAGAAGAACACAAGATGCCACTTTTCTTTTCTTACTCAATTTTATTTGACATTTCACTTTTTTTTGCTTATTTGAAAAAGCCCTGACGAGGAGTGATTCCTGGCCATGACGTGTCCCAGCAGACTTGGTGGAGTGTGACAGTGAGGGCCTTGTACTGCCTGACTTGCCCCTGAGGAGATGGGGAGTGACAAGCTTGCTTGCAATGTCCTTGCTGCCCGTGGTTGCCCTCACGCAGAGGGTCTGAGATTGCTGTTCCCCCCGCAGCAGCAGACACTGCCCATCAAACCCATTCCCAGGTTTCTTGCAGTGGAACATACAGCTCCTGGGATGGCAGCAAAATCACTGCATCAGGACTGATTGGCAGTGAATAACCAGCGTGTTTCTGCCTCTTAGCTGAGGTGACACATCCAGACCACTGATACCTGTTGGAGCATGAGGTGCTTGTTCCTTATAGACCATGCTGCAGAGCAGCATGTTCAGCTCTGCTGTAGATAGTGGTCATGCAACACAGGTGTGCTGTTCCAACAAGGTACCTGTAAATGCAAACACTGTCACACTTGAATTCCTCCTCTTCTACAGGAAGAGCCACGAGCAAAAAAACATGGCAAGGCAGAGAAACATTTCTGAAACTGTATATTTCTCTTCTTTTAGAACTATCTCCAGTTTTCAGCTATGTCCACACGCTTGTTCTTTGTCTAGGGCAGAATATAATGCACTAAATGAAATGTCAAAAAGCAACTCCTGTGCTCAGCATGCTCAACAGTAATTTGTTTTATAGTGTGTGCAACAGTATCTTGTTCTGTGCTTCACACAGCAAATATAATAGTGTCCAGCCAGCACCTCACTAACTTTTTAAAAACAGATGAAGCAAGAAGTACTGCAAGCAGCTTTTATGTCATCAATGGGATGCCCTCAGTGCTTTCCAAATGCCTGGGAGTCCTAAGTACCGGGCAGAAATTGGCATCCTCTGTTTACACGTGGGAAAACAGAACTAAAAGAGTTTATGTCTCCTGTTTCCAAACACAGTCACTAGCTTTGGGTCTCTGTCTTTCTGGTGCCAAACTGTGAGAGTTTTTAATGTTCTGGCATGTATGCAGAACAAAGACCAACTGTTCACTGGTTTAACTGGTTTGACTTGTACACAGCTCTGTTGAAAAGGTACCTTAGTGTGAAGTTTGTGTAGTGCAGTGAAGAAGCAGATGTTCCCTCCATCCCCACTGCCCATCAGGTCTGGATTTTACAAGTGCCCCAGTCGAAGCCAACAGTGTTTGCAGTGTCCAGTGCTGCTGAGAGCTAGGCCAGGTGTTAGATCAAATGTCTGGATCTGAGCGTGTAACATTTTTTCAGATGTGCTTCTCAGTGATTTTTTTCCAGACAGATGCGGGAAGTCTGTGGTAGAGCTGGGAACAGAGCCTGTTCCAGTGCTGTGAGAGGCTGTGCCTCTGACAAGACACAGGCACAGCCCTACAAAGTAAATGTTGTGATTTCATGGCTGGAGCTGAATGGCACCCGACAGTTGCACCAGGGAATTTTTCTTCCCCAGTCTCCAGATTCACAGGCATTCACTCTGTGGCTGAAGCCTCAGAACCTCTGAAGTTTAATAGTAGTTTGGTATTTAATTTTGGGTCAGTTGTACCTATGCATCTTTGTACTCCTGTTCCTGTGTGCAGCTCAGTTGTAGGATAACCTTAGTGGAGGATCACCAGGCAGGAAGGCTCAGGGAGCTAGTAAGATATAGGGGGAAAGGTCATCATGGGGCTGAGCTCAATACCTGCTTGCACAGAAGAGTGTTTTACCCTGGGAAATGTCTGTTTACTCCAGTAACATGTAGAGTAAGCCACCTCCTAAGCTGGATAATGGAGTGAGGACTGGGCTTGTGGATGGATGATAGATGTTCTGGCTCTGCTTGCTTGGTTGAGTTGTCCAGAAGAATCACTCATTTCTTTCTTTTTTAATCACTAGTTGAGCTTATCCATGATGGGAGAGATTGTCATATCCTGTGTCTGAACATCATGCCCTCTGCCCCAGCTGGCTGCATGGCAAACCCTGAGGACACTATTGGCCCTGCCAAGCCTGGGCAATCCACAGCTGGGCAACACTTTACAGAGATGGCCACACTGTTGGGGTGTCATCTGCACAGGCAGATCCCCACTGGTCTGTCTCTTCAATGTTTGGAAGAGCTCAGCTTCACAGCACGGGTTTTTCTCCCTGGCTGTTCGCACGAGTTCATATTGAAAGCTTCCTTTCTCAAGACGTTCTCTTTTACTTATTTAAAATGTGCTGTTTCCATAGGTTGCACCTGCTCTCAAGGATACTACCCAAGGATAAACATAGAGAAGGCACAAGGCCAGCACCAGAAGTGCTGTTTCCGCAGGACTTGCAGGCAGGTGTGTCTGTACATGTAATAAAATGCTAGGCTCTTGGTGTCTGCTCGGTTCCCCTGACTGGGATGTGGTAAGGGGCATCCAGCATATGGCAGCAGAGAGAGCCCTGGTCTTCATAGCAGTGAGATGGCTTGTACAGCTGAGCTCCCTAAAAAGAGCAGTAGAAACCACATCCCAACTATCCCTCTGCCAGTACAGGTCAGGAACGGTGGCTTTTCTTGAGTTAAATTTCACTCAGTCTCATTTTTATTTCTGTTTATGTTTTAGCAAATGCTAAATATTAAGCTGTCATTAGGCAAAAAGTAGTTAGAGGAATTCCAGACTAAAAAGCAGGACTTATACATTTAGTTTAGAAGGGAAACTGGGAAATTTTTTCAGCAAAGCTGCTTCCATGAAGAAGGACCACTGAAGAGCATTCTGGTATTTCAGCCATCTGCTGTAAGGAGGAGGTGAAAACCCCTCAAACTCTTCCCACTGCAAATACACAGGCTTTTCTTCGGTAAAAGGCTGAATCTTTCAACTGTGGTTGAAGCCTCTTTTTTTTTTTTAATGGATATCACTAAAGCATGTAAAAGAAAGGAGTTTGGGGAAAACTCTAGCTGATACAGGGCAGGGAGCAATCACGGGCTGGCAACAGGCTGGAATAAGTGACCTAATCAGCCATTTCCCTCTCTAATTGCTATGATTCTATGGCTTAAAGAATTACACAATGTGTATTTTAGTTGGAACAAGATACTATTATTGAGTAAAGTGCATAATAATTGTGTTTCAGAAGGTGAAATAAGCATCTATCACCAAGCACTTTAATCCATCATTGTACTTTGCTAAATTACCGAAATTGCACTACATTCAATACTAAAATTACTTGTAATAAAGTGATTGCTGAACTGACACTCACAAAAAGATGTCTAATACCCACATTTGTTTTCCTAATTGATAATTTTAGGCTTCGATCTAGGGAGGGAGGAGCACCCACGGCCTCACTGCAGTTGATAGGAATGGAGAGCACGTAGCTCCTTGCAGAGGCAGAGTCTTCTAGCACAGAAGGATCCTGCCTGTATGAAGTACCTCTGATTTCCCCAGCTTTCAAGTCCTTAGTTAGGTCACTGTATAGATCCATTTCACCTAAATTTACAAAAATATTAGGCTTTGATACAAACCTTACTCATAATGTTATACCACTTGTTCATATTGCTCTACAATTTCTTCCCTGGCCATTTGTTAATTAATGTCACATTTTGCAGATTGGGATAAGTGACTTGACCAAGAATACATAGCATGAAGGAAAGAGGCACATCCCTTGTCCTGGATTTCCAGTGGTACTTTGCAGATGCTCATGACTTTTGTCATTTCTTTTTCCTGTAGTTCCTCTGCCCTGCATGATTTTCATTGGCGAAACACAAAACTGAAGCAGAACTCTTGGTTTCAGCTCCTGGATATGACATTTAGATCAGGCCCATCTAGAAGAACATCCAAAGATGTTTATAAACTGTGTAATTAACTGAAGCTGAGCTAAACTTGGTTGTTCTTTTAAACTTTAGCTATGTGGTGACATGGGACAACACGTAGAATTTTTTTCCTCAGTCTAAATGACATTCTTTTGCAAAGGTTTATAACTATTTCTCATCAGACTGAGAGAACAGATGAGGGAAATCCCTGACTTGCTTTCCAAAGACCAGAACCTTTTTTCTTTCTCGGGTGTTTTCCCAGCCTAGCTCAGAATGGATCATTAAGAAATTTAATTGCAACATGTTAGAATTTCCCTTTGGAAGAGAGACACATGCTCCATCCAGGAGACATTGAATTTACGTCTTTGCTGCATGTTTCCATGCCCTCAGCCAAAGAGATGAAACCTTTCTTCATGGCAGGTGACATAAGCTGTAGGGTTTACTGACTCTCTCAACAAAGTATCAAATGCTCTCATAGAATTTTTCTGCTTTTTTTTTTTACATGAAAGGAGATGTGAATGTCTTCTCCATCAGCAGTCACTATATAACCCACATACTGTAAGGTCTTTTAAAAAAGTTTCAATAAGCTAAGCAAATATGAGGAATTCTGATGGAAAGGAATTTAAGCAGTCCATTTTTTTTCTTCCAAAATAAATATGTGAGTTAATCTGAAAAAGTGAAGAGTGCCAAATATTCATCCTATGTGCTAAAGTGACTCATGGCAAAGGTAGACAGTTTTATAGTGTAATTTCTTTATTTCTGCTGGAAATGGATAGCTTCCAAGTGGCACTTATGAAACAATTAGCTGTTCAAGGATAATCAGATTTGTATGAAAATGTAAAGATAAGCGATTTAGCTGTGATCTCAGCTGGAAAGTGACTGAGGGTTGTGGGACATACTCCACAGTAAAAATCTCCTTTTTTTTACTAAATGGCACTTTTGCTGAAATGTGCTAGATTCAAGCAAATAAGGGCTCCCTTGACTTTCATTGCTAGGATGACACACGACTGATTTACATCATTAGAGATCCTTGCTGATGGCTGAACTGCTTTGCATGTAAATGAGACCTAACCTGAACAGCTGCTCAACTGGTGGATGTGAAGGATTTACAGTTCCGGATCGGGTCCCTGCTCACCACCAGTCTCTGAGGGAACTCCACTCCAGGCTGCTGAAAACACATAATGTTTCATACCTACATCCTTGGAGACTGGGCAGGGGCAAAGGCTGGAGGACCGCAAAGCGTCTTGGAGCCTTTTTATGGTTAAAAGTTAAAATGCTTACTTGCCCTTTCCCTTGAAATTACCATGCATATGGTAGAAGAGTGAAGTGCTTTTTCACTCTCCATGTGTTGCCCAGAGTTGTGTGAGTGCCTAGAGAGATGCTATTTGTAAAAGATGAGCTACAGCAGTAAGAACCCAGCCACCCAACATCCATCATCCCAGGGCAGCCAGGCTTTGACTACTAGTACTCTGTGGTCCTGTGGATCTGCCAGCCCATGCACAGCTCTGGAATTATGTGCAGATCCTCTGTTCCTCTACAGTACCACGATGGTTTTGTGGAGAGGGATAGTACTGACAGCATGGCAAAGGCTCATCCTGCGTTTTCCTTCAGGTGTTGTCTGTGGCCACAGAGCTCTTCTGCTACTTCTACAACTTGCTCATCTTCAAATTGCTGAGGGTCAGAGCAGGCAGTGGCAAACTGTCAGTAACAGTCCATAGGTTGTCTTTAATAGAGGTGGTTGTCCTAGCATTCCTGTTCACTGGACCTCTCAGTGTTGTTGGCCGTGTGTTTCTCCTTAAAAATCTACCCTCTGAGCTCTGCCTTTTCAAATGCAGTTTGTGGAAAAAGTGGGAGAAAATGTGATTATGGCTTCCTGACCCCAGGCTCACTTGAGCTGTAGGGGAAGGCCCCTTGGGAAACGTTTTTCTGTGTGATATTTTCATCTTAGTTTCCAAATGCCCAGAGACCTAGCTAAAACTGGTAGGCAGCCAAGCCTATTCATCTGCCTGAACTCTCCCTAAAGATTCGCCTGTCTGTGGAGCAAACCATATTGTCAAGGACATTGTTAATGATGTGTCAGAGATAAGAGCAGCTCTCAGCCCCGGGAGATCCAGAGAGCCTTGAGACAGTTTGGATCCTTGGTCAAAGGACTAGGGAGGCATATATCCCTAGAGCAGAGGTGGTGGTGTCCTAAAATTCAAGGACTAGGGAATGCATCTACTCTGTTTAATGTCAGAGGTATCACTGCCAGCGACAGGATTCAGAAAATATTTAGAGGGCTTCCAAGAAAGCATTTGTAGATTCAGGTGTACAAGCCTGTGAAAGTGTTTGGTCTCCTGGTGATGCTCGCACAAGGACACAAAACATCTTGATCTTCGAAGGATGCTTTAACACTGCTTATTCCTCCACTGAAGCTGGCAGAACAGGGAATGAGCACTGTGACTTCATCAGCTATGCAATAAATCCATGATGATATGAAGGCTCTGGGATGAAATCAGGTACCTGGCAACTCTGCCATGAGTGTTAAATGTGAGCTAGTGATGACAAAATCCTTCAGATGCTTATTGTGGGGGCAGAACTCGACCTGTTATAAACACATCCTCCTTTTCTGAGTGTGGTTGGTTTTATCTCCAGGTTAAGAGGGTGTTGAGATCTCATATGGAAGAGGAAGCTGCTGGGCTTTAAGAGCTTTGTTTACTTATATAAGGCCTAACAAACATGGTTGTTAAGGCCCACTAGGAGGTCTTTCTTATGAAGCTGGGGGCTATTGGATTAGGCAAATGAGAGCCAGAGATTTGCCTAATAGCTTGACAGGCCATGAGGGATTAGACTCTTGTGGGCTGGTGTAAACTTGCGGGACAGAGGTGCTGTGGCATGGGTCTCTTCTTAGCCGTGGATAAATGCCTTGTCAATGTGGGTTAATCTTGTTTGCCTTGATTTCCATAATGCTGCATTACAGGGCACAACTTCTGTCAATTTAATCACTGTTGGAATGGAATTGTAGGCTTTTGTTTCAAGCACACACCTCCTCCCTTAGGAAGCACTTTCGGCATCACAGGGGTCAGTGATTAATGACAATTTTTAACTCCCTTTGGTTCGAGCTCCCAAAATAGTTGTTCCTTTGGGACCAAAGGAGCTGGCTGAATGCGGGTCCATCTGAGGAGACTCCACTGCTGCCTACACACTGTGGATCCATGGCTCCCCCCTCCTTTTTCCAACACTGATATTAATCGTGTCTCCCCCTCCACAGATAACCCAAATCCCCTTCCCCGGAGCTGCGATTCTCCCCTGTCATTATGCTGTGCTCAAGGCAGCACACTAGCACTGGAATGGCACTCTGTGGAGCCTGAAGGACACTCCCAGAGAGCACACACCCCTCCCTGGCAGACTCTGACACCTTTCATTTGATTGAAAGTGATAGTCAGTGTTGACTGTCATCAAAGGCAAGTGGGCAGTCAGCAGTGGGATTGAAGTGCCAAGTTAAGGGATTCTAAAGAAAGTGGGCTTGGAATTCCTCTGCCCCTGGGTCCCTTTACCTTGATAGGGTAGAGGGCTGTGAGTGTACAGGGTTTATGGAGCATCACGGCTTTTGCAGCTCGTCTCACTTCTGACTCTGACCAACCTAGAGAAGAGCAGCCACCCCTGCTAGGCTAGTTTTGCTCCCAGGGCACAGATCATGTTTGTCTTATCATGGTGTAGGATCCATCCCATCCAGCTCCAGTTTTATTACGCTTTTTAGATGTCTTTACATCTCCTCAATCCATATCTTCCCTTGTCCTCCCTACAACTACATCAAGAGCCCAGGAGTGCTGGGTCCAACACAGGAGCTGGAGTCCAAACACCTACAGGCACTGTGGACTCATAGCTCTGAGTGTTGTTTGATAAATGCTTGTCAGAGCTGAGCTGAAGGAGCCAGGAAAATTCCCTGCAGGCATCCCTGAGTCTGGAGGCAGCCTCCCCCCACAGCCCATTAGCATCTGCAAAACACTGGAGGGGACAGTGCTGGTGGGAGGAAGAGCTCAGGCCACTCCCTTTTGGTTCACAATGGGCAGCATCTTTCTCAGTTGTGCAAATTGCTCATGTGGTCTGGGGGGGCCATAAGCCCAAACTTCTCCTTAGAAAGGCCAGCCCAGCCCCTCCTGTCCCCAGTCAGCACAGGGCTCATCCCCAGAGCACAGCCCCTCAGTCCTGTGCCTGTGTCAGAGCTGCAGGCAGTGGGGGTGGATGGGGACAGGTGTCAGTGGTGCTGGACTACCAGGTGACAGCTCCTTGTCATTGGCAATGACAAGGGAACTGTTGCCTTGTGTGCACGTGCCAGTGGTAGCCACCCGGCTCAACAACTGCAGAGGTGGTGCTGGGAAAAAGTGCCTTAGGTGTTGTCCCTGACAGCTTCACTTACCCAGCATAGAACAAATGCAGGTGCCAAAAGAGTTGCAAATACAGACCTTGCAGGCTGGTCCTTTATTGACACATCCCCAAGACAGCATTGAATCCAGAAAGGATGGAAAGGGCTGCAGAGTAGTGAGGTGGTGTGGGGGTAACTGCAAGACCCTCATCAGCTGCACACAGATGGTCAGTTGTGCCACCCACAGGGTGCTGGGCACAGCTGTGCCAATGCATGAAATTCCATCCACCCGCCATCCACTCCTCTGTATCTTTCTTATCTAACAGGGAGTAGAAAGTTTTAAATTGCCATGTGAGCAGAGAGGGGATAAGCTCTTAGGAGGGGTGTATAATGGTGGATTTCTCCTCTGTTCCACAGAGCTCTGTTGTCACCTTTGCTCTGCTCTTGCCACACTGCAGCACCTAGCCCTGGGCATGACTGAAGCTGGGAACCAAAAGCTGGCCAGCACAGAGCCCAAAATACCCAACGACATCCATGACACAATCTCAGAAGAGCCTGTACCATCTTATAAATTGTCTGTGCAGTGGGATCTGTCAGGAGGAAGCACAGCCTGCCTCCATGGAGACGACAAAGTTTGGGACTGAAGCAGTGAGAGGTAAAGTTCACCCTGCACATGCATTACTGCCTGCACTGCTTCGTGCTACAGCTTAGGCATGGCTGACCCAGGAGAATGTCTTTGGGGAACACAGCTGGGAGAACAGGGCTGTAGTGGTTGACATTAGCTCTGCTTAAGGCTGAGAGGCTGCATCTGGTTTGGATCTCCCCTGCTGCTGCTGTGCTCTGGCTGCAGACTGAGAGATGAGCTAAGAGAGCCTGAAGCTGTGCCCTGCCGCAGGCTGGCTTTGCACAGCTCTGGAGGCACAGAGGTGGCCTAATGCACTTTGTTACTGCTCCTTATTATCAGACTCCACTAATGAATTCTACTAATGCTCAAAACCCTGCGTGACAAAGAAACCCTTGATCTTTTTCCACACCCTTCCTTACTTCTAACGCCTGTAACGCTCCTTTCTGTAGCTGAGGAGTCCCACCCGGCATAGCACAGCTCAGCAGGTGGCAAAAAATGTATAATCCTTAAAGGAGCCTAGCTGAGCCTGGATGCTTCCTCTCCCAAGGTCTCACTGCTAGTTCTTGCACAGAGAGGAAACCTTGCCTTTCACCAGGCCAGGAATTATCTTGCAGTTTGGCCTGGAGCTCATTTAAATCATGTTCTCTGGTAGTGGCTCCTGCTTTGCAAGGCAGCCCCAGGAGATTCCCAGGCTGGGGCAAAGAGGGTAATTGCTATCTAATGAATGGAGGTGAGCATATCACCCATGGTCCTGTAGCCATCATCCCTCAAATACAAAGCTTCCACCACCCTTTCTTCCATAGGCACAGGATCATCATGGAGCAGTGCTGTGAGCTTTGATAATAAACTGACCCTGCAGAAGAGAGAAGAAGGAAGGAGAGGGTTCCTGCTGCCCTGGGCATGGTGCAGGTAGCCCAGGGCAACTATCACTAAGAGACATCAATGTTTTTTCCATCTGAGTGCTAAGCTTTATAAACACAATAAAGTATCATGCAGAGGACTGCTTATATATTGCCTGTGACTTTTGTATATCTTAATTTAAGAGTTTACAAATTGCACAGTCCTTCTGCCTAGTTGGCAGCTATTGAGATCCCAGAAGGAAGTTCTTTGACCACTTCCAAATGTACTGTCCAAATATCTGTAGAAGAAATACCGTGGTAAGAGAACCTGTCACAAAGTCCATCACTGCGTACAGTGGGCTCTTATCTCTTGCTGTGCCTTTGGAGACCACTTTGTTCTTTCTTCTAGTCCTTTTCTTTAACTGGCTCTGTCTTTACTCATTTAAGGCCTTATACTTAGACAAGATGCAAATTTTGCATAATAAAAGGGCTCCTTAATAGCTGGCAGTGCATGCTGCTGCTCCCTGTCTCCTGTTGTTGAAAATCAAACAAATGTAAAAGTAGGAGCTGAATGTCTCTGCATCTGGGAGTCCTTGTAAAGAGCTGGAGAGGAGAGTTTAGGATGTACCCTTTTCCCAGGAAAAGAAATTGAAGAGTTCAAGAAATCATAATCCTTAACAAACCTTTCTCCAAAGAATTTTGCTTTAAATACTTTAAATCACACTGGGCCTGTACATTTTTGCTCATAGCTTTCCTTGCTTCTCTTGACTGCACAGTCCAGTGAAATTCCAGATTCTTTACCGAGAAATGCTTTTGAATGCTCCATCCCCACCTACACTTTTAGACCCCTAAGGGGAACAAATAAACAGAAGGGAAGCTTCTCTGCAAGCAGAAAAGAAGTCAGCAATTTTCTTGCACCACTGGAGGCTTCACACAACGCAGCATCTGCAGGCCCTAGTGCTGTATTGCCTTGAGTAACTCATGTTCCTAGGTGTGGTTTCCAGGCAGAGCTAAGTTCTGGTCCACACCAACGCACACTAGTATTTTCTTGGCATGCTCTAGTCCATCTCTTTACAACAGGCTCACAATTGCTTGGCTTCATCTCAGTGTGGCAAACACATAAAAAACGCTGTAGTAAGTGAATTTAATTTGTCTCCTGGCCTAGCAGCAGACCCTCTTCGGTGAATGATCAGAGCTCGTGTTTAAAAGCTCACTGCAAAAAACAGAATCCATGGTTGATTGAGCTCTCAGTGTTGGGAAACCTTGAGATCTGTAAGTGGAGAAGGAGCCCCATTAATTCCTGTCTAGACTGGCTTCTGAGCCCAGGTTCCAGAGATGAAAGGACACTTTATTAACACAGGACATAAATCCACCCTGCCAACAAGTCCACACTCCTCTAGATTATTTACACCTCTCTCCCTCCCTCTGGTCATTGCCTGTCCCTATATAATCTACATTAAAATCCTGACAGGATTAAACCAACATGTCTTACACTTTAAATATCAGACTCTGTGTGCTTTCTTTTCCACACAAAAAAAAAGACTTCATGTTTTTACAGATAGACTGGGAAAAAAAAAGTAGATGTCTAAGGAAAGGAGCTTGATGTTATGACTGAGAGATAAAATGTGCTCTTGGAAGATTTTACTGCAAATGTGGCCTTTGCCACACCTACTGCTCCTCTCCCTGGTGTGTTTGGCCCTGTGTGTGACTAAGAGCCAGCCAGGGGCCGTATGAACCGAGCCATCTAGACTCTGAGCATCACCTTCCTGCATAAGGGATGACAACCTGTGATCAGACTACAGCCCCTGTGTTATGCAGGACTGTCCTCCCTGGCAGTGCTGTGCTCAGCAACTGGATCAAGGACTGAGGGATTGTGGAGGGCATGGGCAGTATAGGATGGAGGCTCTGAGGAGGACAGGCTTTTTTCCTTTGAAGATTTTGTGAATTTTCTTTGCTCTTGAGGCTTTGCCCCTTTATTTTCTGACACTGGAAAGTTTCTATAGCTTGTCCATGGGTTTTCTGGTGTTTATGGAAAGAGCTGCAGCACTGTATGAGAGTAGTGGATCCTGTGATTTTGTGTTTGCATGAGCTTCTCCACCTTCCCTTGAAGCCAGGAAATGGGGAGAAAACAGTGCTTATGGAAAAGAACCTCAAGAGAACTTTGGCACAAATGAACTTTTAGGCTGAAAATGTAAAATGTTCATTCAGTCTATGACTGTCTCTGCAACCCTTGGCTCATTTCTGGTGTGGGTCCTGTTCAGCCATAGGACTGAGGGGTGCAGTGATGTGGAGCATTAATGAGGTGGGTGCTATGCACTGAAATGAAAGGCAGGCAAGGTGCCTGTAGCTACAGTCAGCAATATTTCTGGGTGATGTGGAAGAGCTGCAGCCTGCACGGTGACATCCAGGCACAGCTGCAGGACTGGAGTTGGTGCTTCCCAGACACGCATGTGTCCCATGTGACCCCTAATACTTTGGATTAATTTGTTAGAAAGAACAGATGAGTTCATGAGCACAGTGATGCAGGACTACCTTCCTGTCTCAGGCCCTGTGCATTTCCAGTGCTACTTGATACATCCAAAGTGATAACAGCCTGTGATGATAGAGTTGCACAGTGCTCAAAGCCATGTGACTCACAGTCGTGCTGCAGATTTCAGCACGTTGTAGCAATGGTAGGCTAAGGAAATGAGGAGTGCTGTTGAAAGGACACTCTGAACTTTTGTATTGCCAGACAGAACTCTCCTTGTTGTCGTAGCCTCCTTGGGTCTGCATTTTACCTGACTGCAGCACCTGCAATCCTTTTGTATTTGTTTTCTGTTGCATTTTTAGCAAATGAGCTTACTGGCATGGTCAGTTTGAAGTCATTAGCAAATGTTTACCTAAAGTGAGTTTGAAACCTATACAAAAGATAATTTGAAGTGTTTCCAAGATTTGCATTCATTTGGCCAAAGAAATCATGACACCTGATTTATATGCCCAATCCAACATAACCAAGCTACTCCAATTTTGAATATCTAATGTTTGCATTGAGCTTGAAAAACTGTTTCCAAACAAAGGCTCAATCAGACTACAGAAATATTTCAAATAGGTAAATGAAAATAAATCAAAAGCTGTTCACATACCTGAAGAAAAGAAATCACCGAACATATTATTCAACAGCTTTCCTATTTACTTTTTTCAGTGTCATCTTCCCATTAAACACCCAGCTTTTGACTTTACTGTTGAGTTTATTGTTATTTGGGGCCTCAGTAAAGAACTGTTCTTAAACAGTTTCCATCCTTTCCTTTCTAGCAGCTGTCTCTGAGCTGGAAGAGCACAGTATAATCCCCACATCCTTTCTGCTCACACAGAAAAATTTCCTGTGTGTTGTCATCTTTTTCATTCCCAGGTTTGTGTCAGGATGAGCAGAGGGCTCCAGAGCTCCAGGATGCAATAGACCACAAGCCTGAATAAGACAAGAGCCTTATTGAGCCTGTCCCAGCTAGGAGCCTGTCCCCCCAGTGCCCGCCGGGCACAAGCCATCATCCTCTGTGTGGGAGAGCACGTGGCAGCTGCTGGATGCAGGGATGGGACATGCTGTGTTTGTGTTAAGGACGGAGCTGGAGCAATAGGCTTTTGTGTAGCAGAAATAGACCACAGAGTCCCAGAATTACTTCCCACTGGCTTTTCTTTGGTTCATCGGTTTCAGTATCTCTGTGGGTACAATCAGCCAGAAGCCATCTGTTAGTCTGGCCTGGGAGAGAAGGCTGAAGTAGGCAGTGTGGGGAGAAAAATCTCTAGAAATAGCAGACATTTTTACCATTTTATGAAGCATGTTTTCACTTTTCCACTAGTATCAACTCACCAGGAATTCTAGCAGGAACAAGCTCGGTTTCATGTTATTCTCTTGTTTTTCCAGCTTTTTTTATAGATATATGTAGATATAGATTTTTACATAGATACAGATATAAATTGAAAGCCAGTATATGTTTGTAAGAATTAAGTCACTACATGCCTGCATGACTTTAACCCGATTAACAGTGTCACAGATCTTTATGCTCTCTGCTGTAGGCAGTGCTGTGATGGCCACGGGTGTGAATACACTGGATCACTTGAAATTGGGAACTGCCGTCAGTGGGCTTGTCACTGTGGTGCAGAGCACAGCACAGTGCTCCCGAAATGCAAGGTAATGACAGGACAGATGGCCCACAAGGACTTTCACCTGCCCCTGATGGTATCTGAGCTAGAGAGTTTGACAGCATCATGACTATCCCTGCATCTCCACATAATCCTGTAGCCTGCTTCACTGCAGACATGCTCTATGTAACAGTTTGGAACTCCATTCCCAAGCATGAGGAACAGAGGTTTTACTATCTAAATACTCAAATACATCCTCACATAAGGGCAGCAGATGGGTTAGTGTGGATCTCAGGAATTAAAGCTTCCCCCAAACCTCCATCCACCAGATGTTCCACTGTTTTAGTGTTTGGGTTTTTTTTGCATATACCTAGAATCACCTCTCCTTTCTGCAGCACACAGCTCTTCAGCTCCTTACAAACCCAAACAAGGTACCAGTGGGTACCTGTGTTCTGCCACAGCTGGAAAATGGCAGGCACTTCCTATGAGAAGTTGAGAAATAATTTTTAAAAATTTTAAATTTCAACAATAAATGGATAAAAATAGAATACTTTCCCATGAAACAAAAGAAATGTTATATAACCAACCACCCTTCATCAGATAATGCTGCTAAAGTAAGAACTCTTTCCAGCTGGCATGTGTCCCATCTTTCATTTCCACCAGGAATTGAGGAGAGAGAAGGAAATGGCTGGGAACCTTTCGGAACATGCTGACATGGAAAACCCCACCACCTCCTACTGGAAAGATGCTGCAATTACCTGTTCTAAAACCGTTTAACAAGAGTTGGGGAGAATTGTCCACAAGGCACAGAATTCTTGTAAACTTTTTCTATAGCCATGTATGGGGACATTTTTCTCCTCTGTTTAACTTGCCTGTTATTTCCTCCTTCTGGCATTTATTAATCAGGCTGGTTAACCATTCAGTCCAGCCTAAAAACCAATCTCATCACAAATCCTGTTCTCTGTGGTGGACTCGGGAAAGACTCTAGCTGAACAAACTCACTTCTCTTGTCTTAACTCTGAAGGGCAAAACTAAATGCTGAGGATAGATGT